ATGTTCTCCGGTGGTCATGACTGTTTCTATCCGCATTACGTCACCTATCAAGTTGAGTTCACAGTCATATTCAGCCTCTGTCTAATACATATGGTCTCTCTCTCTCTCTCTCTCTCTCTCTCTCTCTCTCACACACACACACACACACCTTGTTTATATTTATCCTGAAGAACAATTTTATCAGTCTGTGACTCTAGCTGAATGAGAAACATACAGCAAATTTGGTGACTAAAGAAAACATGTGGTCCAAGTTTAACCAAAGCAGAATTTTGACGGCAGCTCTGAAGACAGTTTAGGCTTGGAAAGAGGCAGCGTAGTGGAGTGGGAAAAGCACTAAATAGGTCCTGGCCTTGTAATTTTCAAACTGGGCTTCGGCAAGTCATTTCTCTTTTATAAGACTCAACTTTCTCAATGGCATAATTATAACACTAATGCCTTATTCTAAGAGACCCTTAAAAGTTAAATGACTGCACGTCTGTGAAAAGAACTGGCCTGCTACCCAGCACATAGGATCTGCCCAATTCTCTGGGTTTACATCTGAATTGTGTTTTTAGCTTCAATTATTTTGGGAATAATTAGTATTCTTTATTTCACTTGTTTCTTATTCAACTAAAATGTGAGTCTCCCAAGGAATACTACTAGAATGCCTCCATGACAGGGGTGTGGGCACAGAGTGTTTGCGGTGTTTTGTTTGATTTGGAATTTTAAAGCCCAATCAGGAATTAAGGAATGTACAGCGACAGGGCCATTAAGGAAACTGGAAAGGAACAGACAGTCCTGGAATGTGGCAGCTCCTGTTTGATTTTAAATGTAAGTTAAATATTAATTTTTTCTAAAAAAACACTCTTCTTCTAGGGAGGCCTTTTTCTCTCTCTCTCCCTCTCTTATGTTGACAGACTGTTAGTGGCTTGCCTTTCACACTAACTTACTTGGAGAAAAAAAAGTCTTCAGATGATCCTATTTGTATAAGGGGAAAAAAACACGTCTTCAAAACAGCTCCCTTGTCGCCAGCATCAACAGCAGCTGAACAGGGTTGGGTTGTTGTGTATTGAGAATTATTCCTTTCATTTCAAAGGAATCAAAGCTGTTTGGGGCAAGCAAGAGCCCTGGTTACACATGATCAAAATAACCTAATATTAGATTTGCTTATTGAAAGAGTCCACTATCAATGGAGTCTCCTGCTAGAGTTTGAGTACATTTTTTTATTGTTCCATAAGGATTTTGCAGGAAACAGAGGAGTCATCTTTGAAAAGCAAAGCTGATTTGGGGAAAATAATAAGAATTTGAAGAGCTCTTTTCTGAATTCCTTCCTGCTGGAGGTTCCCTAAAGCAAGCTGGTGCCATGATGCTGTTGACTTGTAAACAGAAGTCAAAAGGAAATTCAAGCTTCTGTCAAGTTTCATTCCAAATAAAATAAAAAAGGAAGTGGTTGAATCCCTTTTAACATTTTTGAATGGATTTTCTTGGGTTTTGGCTGTTCCCTGATCTTATAAAAAATGGGAAACAATAGAGAAATCACAAGTTTCCAATTCATACCTATCTTAGCAGGAATTTCAACATCTGATGCTTCCAATGTCTCCTTTTCTCAAACCATCATTTCTGTCTTTCTTACTTTTCATGCTTTCTTTCTCTTAAAAGAAAATTCACAAGGCTATATCATCCAATGCTCCATGACATTCAACACACGTTTTAAATTTTGGTATATAAAATCAAGTACACTGCTCCTGTTACTACCTAACTATGTGACCAGAGGGGCCTAAGTGTCCTCATTTATAAAAAAAAAAAAAATAAAAAAAAATAAAAGCAGTTGAATAAGACTTGCAGAGCTCAAACTATATTCTATCCCAGGGTTCTTCAACTTGTACATTGTTGATACTTTAGGTTGGACATTTCCTTGTCATGGGAGGCTGTCCTCTTCGTCTAGAGATGATTAGCACATTAGATGCCAGTAGTACAACTGTACTCCCCTGCCCTAGTGACAACCAACAATGTCTTCAGGGGAGAAAAATCACTAAAACACTGATTCTCAAACACTGGTGGCTATCAGAACCCCTGGGGAACTTAGGTGAAAACATAAAGACCCAGATTTACTTCTATTTCAAAAGCCAGGGCCTCTATGTATTTTATTAGTTTTTTTGTTTTGTTTTGGTTTTTGTTTCTTTTTGTACACAACAAAGTTTGCAACCATTGTTCATAAGGAATTGTAATGACGGAGTTCAATGTATGATTCTTGCACCAAGAGAAACTTGTTAGAAATGAACATTTTAAGGAGCATCACCAAGGAACTTGTTAGAAATGAACATTTTGAGGCTCCATCCCAAACTTAGTGAGTCAGAAACTCTGAGAGGGAAGTCAGTTGACTAGGAAATGGCCTTGGTAAAGAAGAAGTGCCATCTTGGCACACCCAGCAAGACATGCAGGAGTTTGAGAGATCCAGGGAGGATTGTCTTTCTCAACACAGAGTTGATTCCACTGGGCAGAGCATCCCTTGAAATCAACTTCTTGGCCCTGCATGACTCTTATCACCATATTGCCATGAACTTTGGTCCTAATCTAGGCTTCAAAGGCAGATCAGCTTGTCCTTGGGAAAGGCAGATGGAGAGATGGTACATCTCAGATTCATGAATCCTCCACAGCACCTGGAGCCCTGACTTATTTTCTGAACTAAGACATTGACTCTAGATCAGTGGTTCTCAATCTTTGGTTCATATTAGAATCACGTAGGGCAGTGGTTGGCAAACTGCAGCTCGCAAGCCACATGCGGCTCTTTGGCCCCTTGAGTGTGGCTCTTCCTAAGCCTTAGGAGTACCATAATTAAGTTAATAACAGTGTACCTACCTATATAGTTTAAGTTTAAAACATTTGGCCCTCAAAAGAAATTTCAATCATTGTACTGTTGATATTTGGCTCTGTTGACTAATGAGTTTGCCGATCACTCACCTAGGGAACTATTTAAAAATCTCAATGCTCAGGCCATACCCCAAATTAATCAAATCACAGTATCTCAGAGTGAGAGGCAGATATCACTATTTTTGCCTTCTTGGGTGATTCCAATGTTCAAGCAAATTTGAGATGTTAATTGAACACTTTCTATAAAGTCAGGTAGGATTTGTACAGAGGTAGATAAAGTAGTAAGACATGTAGCACATGTCTTGAAAGCACATGGCCTGTTTGGGGGTCAGCAGAAAGTTTGGTATGGATACAGCCTATAAGTTTTTTTACTCTCTGCCAATGTCAACTCTTCCCTAAGTTTTCCTAGATCCTTCCACCAGAAATCTTTGCAGGCTCTGAATTTCTATAGCACTTTGAATCTAATCTAACATGTACCACACTCTACCTTATATCATAGCTCTGTACTTCATGTTTGTCTCCTATACAACATTGTTAGATTCAGGGATAAGGGCCCTGGCTTATTTGTCTCTTCTCTCCACTAGAACACCTACTTTGAGAGTAGGCATCCAAAGATATGAATTTAATAGACAAATATTAAATAATGTGTAAATGTCACAGGATGTAAAGGTAATCTGTGGTTAAGCATCCCCCCACAGCAGGAATCCCTAGTCTAGTATACTTCAAAATGTCCCACAAGTTGACTGATAACTCTGGACTCCAAAATCTTTATCTGAAAAGAGAGACAATCACTAGAGAAAATGTCTAGGCAGATTAGTCAAATGCAAATTCTGGAAAATTGAATATCCAAAGCATTCAGTACACACTCACCTCCAAACTGGAGTTTTTCCATCAGTGGGATGAGCCAAATGAGTGAGGTTTGATAGGTAAAAAAATAATAAGAACATGATTTGGGGGAATCCCTTGGAGTAACAGAACCAAGGCTGTTCATGATCAGAGCGGTTAAACTCAACAAAATCAATGAAGGAATGAGCATGAAACTCTGGCAACCTCCGGGGCATAGTGGCGATTCCTCACAAAAGCCTTCTTTAGGAAATTCATATCAGCTGCATGATATATGAGGTTCTTTACCATTGCCCTTCCCTCTTACTCACTATCTGGTAGCCAAGAAGACTTTGGTGAAATTGCTATGGCACTAGGAGACCACAGGAATGCCTTCAGGAGTCAAGGGTCCAGTGGATAAGCTCTCAGGAATCCTTGTGAGTGTGGAGCCAAGGCACAGGAAAGAGGGGAACAACTTGCCGCAGGAGGGATTTATGAGAGAGGAGAAGCAGAGGAACAGGAAAGCCTTCAGCTAGTCCTTTGGAATCTGGCAGCCATTTCTGTCAGCTTTCCCATTCCTAGATTGATACTCATTGCTTAAGTCCTGCGGGTACTGGATTTATTAAATTGCCTCTTTGTTCAACTCTTAGAAGAATTTATATCTGAAAACTATGACGTGTTGGGACATTTGTCTGCTGTTGGGATGGGGGAACTGAAGTTCAGTTGCACAAGGTCACACGGTGGGTAAACAGAGGCAGAACTGAAGGCAGCTGCTCCTTCCTCCGAGTTCTCTGTGTCCTGTAATACCACCTTCTGCACAGAAAGGCAGACTCTTGATTGCCCCTCCTTGGCCCCTCCTCCTGCTCCAACACACAGACCCACACACAGTGGGGTGAGAAGAAAGGGAGGGACCCTCCCTAAGGGAAGGAACTCTAAGCTTTGAATCCCAAGACCCAGGGGTGAAGTTTTCCTCTGCTCTTTCACAGGTCTATACTAGGACCGATCGCTCTTGTCAAGCCCCCTCAACTGGGCCAGATGGCCCTCCGGTGCTTCCCACACAGCCTGCGATGGAGCATCCGTGCTTCCTGTGAAGGTGAAGGCCTCTGTAAACGGTGAAGTCAGGTATAAACTCCAGAAAATGACTAGAACCGTCACCTCCCTGAGCCGGATTTCTTCCTCTCCAAAAAAGGAGTGATCCTAGCCATTCTGCAGTCTAGAAGGGGAACCACGTGTAGAGCTTCACCCGCCCAGGTTGCCCTCAAGCGGCACTGGCTCTGCTCTCTGGCTGGCACTTGGGTGTGCAGCCCTTGGCATCCCTCTGGCTGCAGCCCTCCCGGAGCCGGCAGGGCGCGCGCTGAGCTCCGGCGGGAGGCTCGTGGAGGATCGGGCAGCAGGAGGAGCGTGTGAGCTGTGGGCGTCCCTTTAAGAGCTGCCGGCCGACCGGCCTCCGCCTCTCAGTCCTCCGAGTGCCGGCGGTCACCGGTCACCTGGGGCTCGCAGGGCAGTCAGATCGCGGCGGGGCAGGTGCTCTCGCCCTCGGCGGTGGGAGAAGGGGCACCGACGCCAGGTGCAGGAGCGGTCTGGAGAGCGCGGCCGTCCCGCGTCTCTCCGAGGCGGAGGATGCGGGAGCGCATCTGGGGCGCTGCTGCCGCCGCTGCTGCTGCTACCGCTGCTACCGCCGCCGCTGTGGGGCGGCCCCCCGGATAGTCGCGCCCGGAGCTGGAGCCCGAGCCAGGGCCCTCTGCAGCCCTACGACCTGCTCTATGCCAGCGGCGTGGCCGCCTACTACAGCGGGGACTACGAGCTGGCCGTGCGCGACTTGGAAGCGGCGCTGCGCAGCCACCGGCGCCTGCGGCAGATCCGCGCGCGTTGTGCCCGCCACTGCGCCGCGCGCCGCCCGCTCGCGCCCCCCGGCGCCGGGGCCGGGGGCAGAGCTGCCCTTCTTCCCGCGCGGTGCTGGAGCGGGCCCGCTGCTACAGCCGCTGCGAGACCCAGCGCCTCGGGGGCCCCGCGTCCCGCCACCAGGTCAGCGAGGATGTGCGCAGCGACTTCCAGCGCCGAGTGCCCTACAACTACCTGCAGCGAGCCTACATCAAGGTACCCAGCCGCACACCTGAGCTCCCTGTGGCTCCAGGTGCTCTCCTGAGTCCTTCCCGCTGTTGTTTTCTTGCCAGATTGGGTGTCTTTTAAAGTTTCGTCTTTTTAAAAAAAATGTATTGACTTTACTGGGGTGACGTTGGTTAATCAGATTATATAGGTGCAGGTGTACAATTCTATAATAGTATAGAATTGTAGTATTGGGGCTGGGTCTATCTATAATATATATATATAGTGTGTGTGTGTGTGTGTGTGTGTGTGTGTGTGTGTGTTCACCATCCAAAGTCAGATGATCTCGTTTGGCCACCATTTATCCCCTTTTACCCTCTTCCACCACCCCCACCCCCTTTTCCTTCTGGTAATCACTATACTGTTGTCTGTGTCTATGAGGTTTTTTGTTTTGTTTTTGCTTAATCCCATCACCTTTTTCACCTGGCTTCCCAACCCCCCTCCCTTCCCACAGCTGTCAATTTGTTCTCTGTATCTGTGAGCCTGTTTCTGTTTTGTTTGTTAGTTATTTTGTTCATTACATTCCACATATAAGTGAAATCATATGGTACTTGTCTTTTTTCTGACTGGCTTATTTCACTTATCATAATACTCTTCATGTCTATCCATGTTGCAAAAGGTAAGATTTCCTTCTTTTTTTATGGCTGAGTAGTATTCCATTGTGTAAATGTACCAGAGCCTTATATAGAGAACCCTAAAGATTCCATCAAAAAACGACCAGAACTGATAAATGAATTCAGTAGAGTGGCAGGACACAAAATACATACCCAGAAATCAGTTGCATTTTTTTATATATATGCCAATAATCAACTATCAGAAAGGGAAACAAACAAAAAAAATTCCACTTACAATTGCATAAAATATACCTTGGAATAAATTTAAACAAGGATGTATGTACTCAGAAAATTATAAGACACTAGAGAAAGAAATCGAAAAAGATACAAATAAGTGGAAACATATACCATGCTCATGGATAGGAAGAATTAAAATTATTAAAATGTCCATACTGCCCAAAGCAATCAATAGATTCAACACAATTCTTATGAAGATACCAAATGGAATATTTCACAGAATTAGAACAAATATTCCAAAATTTTATATGGAACCACAAAGGACCCCAAAAAGCCACAGCAATCTTGAGAAAGAAGAACAAAGTTGGAGAAATCACACTACCTGATATCAAACTGTACTACAAGGCCATAGTAATCCTTCAATGTTTCTGTCATGTGTTTGTGGATTCAGGTATCTGGTGGCATGAGCTCTGTAACCAACACTAAATGAAGCTGGGCAAGTCATTAGCTCTGTTGCAATCAGCCTCTCTCTCTCAAAAAGGACTGTGCTGATAAGATGATGTTTAAAGTCCCCACTAAGCACTAATCCTTGAGACGTTGTCAGAGCTGGGTCTAGCATAAGGTTCCTCTCACTTCATTTCTTGGTGTAGCTCCACACCCATTTCTCTGCTGTTTCCACTCCTTCATCCCTCCTACACGCTAGTCTGTAACTTTTCTCTGAAGTTTAAAAAAAGCATTCTGAAAACAGTAGAGATAAAAGTAGGTTTGCTCTGAAATGAATTTCTCTCTCTTCTCCCCCGCATCTACAAAAGTTTAAGATCAAAGGTTAAAGAGAAGGAATGCTTGGAGAGGTGAAATCTTTTTGAGGCAATCTCACTAAGGCTTCCAATTTCTGGAGGTAAATGTTAGACTGGATTATACATTATCAGATGCCCAGTGCTCTCGTTCTGTTTTTTATTTTTGTGTATTCAACTTGCCTGAACTTAGTGTCAGGAGGTATATGCGATATATACTAGTATTAACATTTTCCCCATATCCACAATGTTGAAGATCTAGCTGGATGCTTCAGCAGAGAGCACTTAGCTTGTGGTCCTCAACCTCACTCCCACTCTCACTCATGTTGCTCTTAACTTTCCGCCTTTCTATGTCAATATATCAATGTCTCTTCTACAGCTGTTGAAGTGGCAGTTCATGTCCACCAGTGTACCAGGCTACATTTCTGGGGTGGTGAAATACACATTATGTGCAGATATCCAGGTGCGTTTAACAGCTCCTCCCTCAAGGTCTCTCCCCTCAAGCTTTCAGGAAATTTGCAGATATGGGTGGAGTTCAGGAAATCACAACATGGGCAAACTCTTTTTTTAAAAAATATTGTATTGATTTTTTACAGAGAGGAAGGGAGAGGGATAGAGAGTTAGAAACATCGATGAGAGAGAAACATCGATCAGTTGCTTCCTGCACACCCCCTACTGGGGATGTGCCTGCAACCAAGGTACATGCCCTTGACTGGAATCGAACCCTGGACCCCTCAGTCTGCAGGCCAACACTCTATCCACTGAACCAAACCGGTCAGGGCAAACTCTTAACTCCCAGTGTTGTGGCTAAGATGCTGGACTTCACTATATGATCTTGGACAAGAAATAAGGAGAGAGCCTGAATCCTTTCCAGGATTTGTCTTCTATTTACTTGTGCCTCCTGATAGATTTGCGAAGGCATGTAAGTCTGATTTCTTTTGAATAAGTGAACAGTTTTGGTGGTCTTACAAAAATCAGTCAATGGTAAGCGGAGAGGGGACCTTGAGTGCCTGACAGCTGAAGATATATAAGCTAGTTCCCAGGGCAGAGTGTGGGTGGTCCCCTGTAATATACTCTTCCCAGGAGTCACAGATGTGAGCTTGGCAGACCTGCTGAGAGCTCTGTCACACATCTTGGGCAGATTTTCTTTTCTCAGGTCCTATAAAAATAAATATCCATGAGGTAACAAAATGTGTTTCTTTGGTCCTGTAATTAAGCTTGCTTCACTGTAAACGTTAGCATTTATGTCATTCTCCTGCTCCTGTCCCATGGCTGGAGGTCAAAGAAGGTGACACCAATAGGTTTAACATGTGTCACATTGTTGCAGTGAATTGATTACAGGAGTTAGTCATTCATGGGCACCTCCATGGATGAACTACTAAGTGTGGTCTGATGAACCCATGAAGTTTAAAAGTTCTTTTAAAAATATGTGAAGCAACGAAAAAAAATGACCAGCAATGTTTCTGAGAGCAGAACAAATCTTATATCTTCTCCATATTCACCCCTTCTCCTATAGGCAAGTCTTCTTGGATCCATGTCATTGATCATCTCTTTGTAATTTATTTTTGATGGTTGGAATTTGCAAGAATGTTTTGTGTGAACGTCGAATAAGATGCATCACGGTTCTCTCCCCTCCCTCCACAGTTTTAAGCCTTTGCTTGGCTTCCAAGGAATTTGGAATTTCACACACACACACACACACACACACACGCACACACACACACACACAATCTTTTGAGAGTAAAACAAAAATCTCAAATAATAAGGGAATATCCTGACAGGCATGGATCCTAAAGTTCATTCCCTGATGATACAATGAGGAGTTCCTTGCATGTGCTTGGATATGGTCATGTTGTTGTTGGATTACTTTTGATCAGTGATCCAGTTTGCACTTGAAAAAAGATAATCTTGGGCCAGATTGATTTCAGTAAGGACACTGCAGCCAGGATTTGAGAATGGCAAATCTATAATAGAGTCAGAACTAGTGGGCTTCCTAGGGATAAGGAAGTACAGTTATTCTCGCTAGGGCTTTACAAACTGTGGAAGCTCTTGGGAGATGCTGCTCCTCCCACCCCCAAATCCCAGGAAGTGAGGCATAGATGGAAGCAGATCTTTTATAGATGGAAGGGAAGAATTAAATTTTGTGAAATCTGAGACCCGTCCAGATCAATTTCACATTTCCCTGACAAGGAGAGGGAGACTCAGAGAGTGAAAGAGGCTTGCCCAGTGTTACCTGATTTAATTTGGTGAAATGAGCATAGGACTAGAATTCAGGAGTCTGAGCTCTGACAATAACTGATGCCCAGGCTTGTGCTGTGCCCACTGCCCCTTGGGGCCGCTTCAGGTCCCAGGGAATGCTGTAGTCTCCAGGGCTATCCTTCTGCCAGATTTGGACAGCTCCAGGGATGAGCTGATCCTTGTCCTGCAGGATACCAGACACGCAGTGCATTTATCTGAAGGCCTGCTCTGTAGAATCTTCCTTAAGACCTGGCATGTTCATCTGAACAGCTATTAGACAACAGTTCCACCTGGTTCTTAGCCAGGGAAAGACTATTCAAACTTTTGATTTTTATTATTTCTGATTGTATGATATAACTCATGATTCAGAGCCTAAACCCTAAAATAAAGCTTTTATCACAGTATTCTGTGGGAAACCTTCAGTGGTTTCCCCTTGCTTCCGTTTATAGCCCACCTCGTTTAATACAGCATTTAGTTTGGCTCCCCCTTAACTCTACCAGCCCTGTCTCCCCCACTCTGCCACCCTCCAGCCAGAGGGAACAATAGATGCCTGGTCTTATGTGTCTCACACTTTTGCACATCTGGGCTTTGTTTATTCTTCTTTGGGAGGCATGTAGGCTCTGGAATGGGATAGTCCTGAGATTGAACTTCAGCTCCTCAATCTCTAGCTGTGTGACAGCGAGCACATTTTATAAAATTTCTGAGCTTCACTTGCCCCGTCTGCAAAATGGGGAAACAATAGGATGTACCTGACTGTTTGGATTGCGTTTCAGAGGAGGTTTATGTAAAGCGCCCAGGACAAGGTCTGTTTCTCTCTGAACACTGGAGCCATGTTCTGCTTATTATTAATTCTAATAGTAGATGTTTCCTTCTCTACGCGTTGAAATGGTAACTCGACTACCACAAATGTACCTATTTGGGTGAGGTCCTGTTTCACTCTCTCTGCAACTCCCAACAATCCATCATTCCTCCCTCCTCTAAATGTCCAGCCACAGCGAAGAATGTGTTCCTCGCATATCATGTTTCACTTTCAACCATGTTTTGGGAAATTCATATATTTGCCTATCACTTCGTGAGCTCCTTGAGATTAAGAATTCTCTTACTCATTGTTATATCTCCTAAAATTGGAGTTTTCAGATCCGCGTGATTATTAGATAGATGATTATTC